GGAGGGAAGGAAAAAAAAAAGGGGGGGGGGGGAAGAAGGACAAGCCATCCCGTTAAGTACCACGGACAGATTTTGGCGCTGCCTGCGCCGCGCAGGGCCTCGCGTGCCCCCTAGGGGAGCGGTGCGGCCACGGCCCGGCCCGCGCTGCGCCGTGCGATGGGAGGGCAGCTGGAGAGAGAGGCCCTTCTTCGACCCACCTCATTTCGTCTCCCGGATTCAGCTCAGAGAGGAGAACACCGACCCGTCCCCCCCTTGGGCAGACGCGGAGTTTTTATCCTCCCGCTTGCTGTACCTTTTCCCTTCTCTGTCACAGATCCCTGCTCCGATGCCGATGCTCCCGCTGCACTCGAAGCAGGACTCACAAAAACACAAACAACCCTAAATCTGAAAACGGATCCAAAGCTGCAGTGCTCACTGCTGAGAAGGGACTCTGAGGAAAGGATCTGTCCAGGAGCTTCTGCAGAACCAACGAAGAAGGAAAAAGCACCCAAAGAACAACTCTCAGTTTGTTCTCTGGGCCTTCACCTTCATTCCCTCATCCACTATAAGTCGCACATCTCTACCAACATTACCTATACAAATCACAGCCCTTCACCCAACGCTTTCATTGCAGCAGCACTCTCCTTTCTCAAAAAGTACTGCTTTCCCCTCCAGCCCTGGGAAGCTCCGCAGAGCACCTCTCATACACACACAGGTCACTGTTGGGCTGTTTATTTAATTAACACGACAGCCGGCGCACACAGGATGGCTTTCAGTCAGTCCCACAGCTCCGCGTTTTCACACCGTACAGAAAGAGCTGAAAGTCACTGCTGGACTTCACTTTTTTTTGGCCAATCCATTTCTGGATTTATCCGATCAGGTCAGACTCTATTTTTGTCTACCATCAGAGTTCATTCAGCAGGTTTTTTAATTTTTTTGTGAGGCTGAAAGAGAGAAACAAACAAACAAACAAACAAAAAACACATAGATGGGTTTGCCTAAATGAAATCAAGCAAAAAAAAAAAAATATATATATATATATATAGTATATATATGTATGAAACATCTGGAATCGCAGCGTGATCCCTCCTGGAGCCTTACATAGAGCTCACACCCAGATGGGTTGCAGCAGTCACCAGGTGACAGCTATGCAGTGTTAGGCAGCTTCTAGTGGCTCCAGTGGTACCACTGGTAAATCTTATCAGAGGAATTACAGCTCAGTAACACGTATTAGAAGAAGGAGGTTAATGCACCCCGTGTCTGATAGGAGATGCGCATTAGGAAGTGTCTACATTTATCTGTTTTTAATTCTTCGGTGCTTAAAATCTCTGTGTGCATGCAGACCTACCTACCCCCATGTCAACAGGCAAGATATGCAGCACTAACCATTGGTTATAAAAGAAGGGTATATCAAAGAGCCGGGAAAGAGGGGAGGGGGAAAGTGTTGCGTTCCTTGCACTGACAGAGCTCTCACTGCCAAACAATGGGAAAAACAGATAAAGGCTGAATTTCTCCTTCAAGATAAAATAAAATAAAATAAATCCAACAAATCTATTTCTCATCCACTCCTCTGATCTTATTGCTGGAGCACCATTTCTGACCATCTCTGTCACAGCACCGTCCCCCAGACACGTGATAGGGAGCTCACGGCTCGTGGAGCCTTTCCATGAGGACAGGCAGGGCCACCTCCACTGTCACCAAGAGGGACAACGCCAGGCTCCCACTGCCGCTGGTTGAAAGCAGGGCAGGTGATACCAGCACTCCAGAATACAGTGGACATACAAGGTTGAAAACATCAAAACGCAGACCACTCTGTAAAAACATCTGCAGAAACCTGAAGAAGAAACACTGAAAGCTGCTTATGCATTTGCAGGGGGGAAAAAAAAATAATTGCTCATTCATTCATTCATTCATTGTCTGTCTCATTCTCACCCATTCACAATTTCTCCCTGCTCTGAGCTGGGTGAGCTCAGTTGAGCTCTGCAGGAGCTGCACATCCTCAGCCATGCTGGCAGAACCACCGGAGCAGTGCTCAGCTGCGGGCAGGAGCGGGGTGGGAATGGGAAACACACACACGGCAGCACGGAACCTTTCATCCAGGGAATGGGATGAAGTGGAGGGAGAGAAGGCATCAAAATGAGACTCCAACCAGAATTACATCAGAGCTTGCTAAGAGCTTAAAGAAGGTTCTATCTGAATGTGTGTGTGCACGTCGGTAGCGGTGGTGATTTCCTTAACTAAACTTTCTAAGCTCCTTTTGGAACTGACAAGCGATTCAGATGAGAGGTTTCAGCAGACTGGGTAATATACAGTGACACATGCATTTGCAGCTATTCCTATGAGTGGCTTAAACACAGCTTATGTACTCTTAATTTTAACCATATTAATGCACCTCTTCGTGATGTCACTCTGTAACTCCTGGTATGGCCCTTTGTGTCACAAGGCCAAAGAAATCCAAATTTTTGTTCTAGTGGGGAAAAAAACAGAATTTCACTGGGATATGTGTGACCAAACAAAACTCAATTCAGTTGGAGAAAGCTCCAACTTTTGCAGACTCTTCTATTCACAGAAACAAACAGGGAGGGAAGGAAAATAAAAGTTTAAGTGCTCAGCAATGGGAAAGCGTACATGGGAGGCGATGGGAAGCACCTCTAAAACCTCTCCTACTGTTACCCAGCAGCTGTGAGGAGACATTTCAGTGCAATGACACAGATCCATTTCCTGATAGAGATGGGTGGTGGCTTTTGGACACACCACCAAGTGCCTTTGGGCCCGGGTTTCTAATGCCAGGGGTGAGAGCAAGCCTGCTCCTGCTTGTAAAGCCCTCCTCTCTATTTTTAACAAGTTATATTTAAAAGCTGTCCAAAAAAGAAACATTTACCTATGGTTTCTGTAAGTCCACAGGGAGATGATGTTTGGCTACAAACACAGGCTCTGTTTGCTGGGAGGTGGGAGAGCCCCACTGCCTGCAGCACTTCCCCAAGATCCGGGGTCTCTGTTCCTCCGTGCTGCCACACTTATTGAGGAAGTCCATTCACGTACAGCCACAACATGCTTAAAGGCAAGAGAAAAACTCGTCCTCGATGTGGAAGTAGTGATCCATTTCAAACCATGCAGTGACGCAGGCGACACCAGATCTCGCTATTGATTAATACTGAGCGAGAACAAAAGAACGCGAAATTTGCCAAAATCCTGCAGTGGGCAGGACCAGCACCAGCACCCAGAAGCCCAGTTTGGCATGGGGTCACACCTGGCACTGCCCTACAGGGAGACACAAGAAGGGCATGATATCACCTCAGGTCCACAGCAGCCCTCCATGGCGTCAGTGCCTCTGTCAGGGAGAGAATGATGCGGCCACAACCAGGGAGCCCCATCTCCAAATGGTTACACTTAAACAGATGAGCTGGAAAAGTGTGAGAGTGGATGGAAATGTGTTTAAAACATTACAAGCGCTTGCTGTAAAAAGCCACCAGAAAAGCTGAGCTTCATCGAGGAGAAGCGGTTTTAATTCCTTGCCTTACATATTGCATTTACCAATCATTCCCATCCCTTTCTCTCCCGGTTTGTACGAAAACAGAGTAAGAACTAAGTCCAACTTCTATTTTTTCACACCATATTTGCTGGGACGCCGTGGTCAATATTTGGTTCATCTAAACAGAAACACTAAATCAATAAATACATTGGTTGTAAAATAAGCCTCAGGTGTATCAGGCTGTCAGGCCCTCTGCTAGCAAATGTCAGAACCGACCACAGAGGGATGCAACCAAACCACGTCCAGAAACAAACCACCCATCCGCACCGTTTGGTTCGGTGACATTATGGAGAAAACAACGCGGTGATCATCCGCTAAATGACCGAGTGAAACCTTCGGTGTGGGGCAATAGCTCCAGGTGAGTGCTGCTCACAGAGTCCTTTGCAAAACCGATTGGAAAAGAAAGTTTTGCCCGGGTTTCCCCCAGCACCACCACGCAGGGCTGCACGCCCGGCCAGGGACGGCTCTGTTGGGGTTCAGCCGTACAGAAAAAAGGACGCGCTACGGGCGGTCAATTCTGCCCTTGTGCAGGGCTCTCTGCAGCCGTGCGGTAAAGATGTCCGTGTGTTTCTTCTCCCGTTTTTTCAGGTGCGCATTTATAAGGCTTTGTGACCGGCGAGAAAGTTTTTTCCGCTCCGTGCGAATCACGGCCACTTAAAGGCAGCAAAGTTGAGATGAACGGCAGTACCCCATGTCGGTTCGCACGCCGAGCCGAAGGACGGCGTCAGGCACAGCCCCGAGGAGGCAAAGTGCAGCGAAGCACGGCGGGCCGCTCGCAGGGGAGGCGATCCGTGCCCCGATCAGGGGCCGCTCTCACCGCGCCCCGCATGCACCCCGCCGGCTCCGGGCCGGTTCAGCGGGATGGCCGAGACTCCGGGGGGCATGGCGGTGCGGTACCGTAACATCCGCCTCAACTTTCCGCCGCTCACCCGAGGAGTAAACCCCGCTCCGGGCTGTGAGACGAGAACGGCTTCGAGTTCCGTCCCCGGCGCCCGGGGCAGAGCGGCGGGGGTCCGCCCGCAGCTCCGTCCCGCGGCTCCCGTCGCCGCGCGCCCGTCCCCTCGGGGCAGCAGCCGCGCTCCACTCCCCGCCGCCCTCCCCACCGCCGCTCGCCGCGCCTTACCTGCTCGCGGGGGATGCAAGGCAGCGAGGTCCGCCGGTGGCTCTTGCCGCCGCCGCCGCCCGACATCTCGGCGGAGATCATGGAGCTGGACCGCCGCCGCCGCCTGAGAGCCGGGGCTTCGTCCGCGGCCGGGGGGGGCGGCGGGAGGCTCCGCCAGCGGGGCGGCCCGCCGCGGGGGCCAGAGCCGCTCGGCGTAGCCGGCCAGCAGGACGCCCAGCAGCCCCAGCAGGTAGGCCAGGTAGGGCCGCCAGGACGCCGGGACCCTCTCCAAGGCGACGAGGGACGTGGTCCTGGCCGCGCTAGTGACGGCGAGCATGAGGACGCCCTGCCGCAGCCTCAGCACCAGCCATGTCGCGGCGGCCAGGCAGCTCAGCACCACCCCCGCGGCGGCCAGGGAGCGCCGCCGGTCCTCCCCCGCCGCCAGCGCCGTCCGCGCCACCGCCTCCCCCCCACAGCAGGCGGCCAGCAGCAGCGCCGCCGTCCGCGGCCGCGCGCCGCCTCGCAGCAGGTAGCGGCCCGCGCCCAGGAAGGCGCCCGCCAGCCCCAGGGGCACGGCGCCGGGGGTTAGCCAGCCCC